TCAATGAAACACAGATGGCATTCCTCTGGTATTCCCTGCTTTCAGCTAAGATCCATCTAACATTAGCTACAATATTCCTAGTACCACAATCCCTTCTAAACCCAGCCTGGACTTCTGGCAGTTCTCTGCTGATGTGCTGTTCCAGTTGTTTTTGGATAATCTTCAGGGGAAAAAAAATCTTTAAACACACACACACACATACACACACAAACTCTGCAAACTTTTTACAGGCTTTTTTTTTCAAGTGAGGCTTTTGTTCAGAATATCAGATTCCTTTTTTGCAGTGTTTAAATTATATTCCAAATCCAAGGCTTTTGCCTGCATTCCAGGGAAGAACTCTAAATAGGGCACATTTGTTAACTTCCTGAATATTTTGTCCTCAGACTTCAAAATCTACATAATTGTTTAAAAATTAAAGAGTTACTCAGTGGTGCAACTTAGGTTTCTAAAGAATAATTCAAGTTACCAAACACTGAAACTGCCAATACAGACAGAATAAACAAGAATAGTAACTGTGTAAATAATAATAATAGAATAACTTTCAGGAAATTCTTTGTTTTGGTCAGAGAAGCATTTTAGTCTGTGACATATTGGAAAAGACAGGCTCCTCCTCAAAAGGTCGACAACGTCGGAAGCCTGGTGGCAGGTCAATGTAAACCCGCTTGAGAGCAGTGGATTTTGTATTGTCGTATAAACTCACTCACTGCTGAGCCCAGCCGCTGTCAGTCCTGACCCACAGCGACCCCATAGAACAGCCTTCAGGCTTCCAAGGCTGCAATTGCTACAGAAACAGACTGTCACCTGTGGAGTGTCAGGTGGATTCAAACCATCAACCTTTTGGTTACCAAACAAATTCTGTAACCACTGTGCCACCAAGGTTCCTCACTGCTAAGCAGTATATAAGAATGAAGCAGCATTCATTTGTTGTTTGGTGCCATCCACGCAGCTCTGACTCACAGCAACCCTTTGTCCAACAGACTGAAACCTGGGTGGTTCCTAAGGCAACTTCACAACTGGCGTTGTGCTTAAGCCTGTTCTCACAGGCTCTGTGTCTGTCCTTCTAGTTCTGTAAGTCCTTCTCATTGAGGATTTTCCTCTCCTCTGACTCTCCACCTTCCTAAGCATGGTGACGCCTTCCAAGGGCTGGTCCCTCCTGACAACATGCCCAAAGTGAGACAAAGTCTCACCATCCTTGCCTCTAAGGAGCACCCTTGCTGGACTTCTGAGATAAATTTCTTTTTTCTATGTGCAACGAAAGCGCCTTTCTCCAGGCTCGAAAGAGTATCAGAATGTTCATGAAGAAGTCTTAC